AGCTGAAATCAAGAGTTGGACACTTAACTGACTAAGCCATCCAGACGCCCCTTAAGGTTTTTTTTTTAATTGCAAAGTATACCCATTGATTTTTTTTTCTTAACATTTCTCAAACAGTGTCTTGAGAAAAACGTGAAAGTAAACCATGATTGATGAGGTCTTCAATAAAATTTCTTTATAAGGGGTTGTTATAAATTACAATAATATTTCAACAATGGGGATAAATTATTAGGTTTTTCAAACATTGCTCCATGAATCCTTCAGAGAATCATGTTTAAAGTGAACATTTATCTGAGGGCTGGAGTCTTACATGCTGCCTTCTTTTCAATCTGTGAAGTTAGTTCCTTGTTTCTTTCACCTTCAAATCCATACAACAGCCAATTTTATTTTTTACATGAGATAAGAAGACCCTTTCATCCAAAAATTATTTTAGACTCCAAATTAGCTGTCTTAGATATAAGCCAGAAATTATTAATATATTAATATTAAAGAACTCCCCTCCCTCTACAAATTACTAGATATAAATTGGAACCAAGAAGATCTTTTATGTCATGGGTGTCATAATAATGCCTTTTTTTTTTTTTTTATGTGTTTGTTTCTCAGCCAACTCCAGAAAACTTTGGTGAGTCTATTTTGAGTTTTGTTCTAAGTTATAGTAAAAGAAAGTCATGTGGATGATAGAACAACAGGACAGAATAACTTAAGACACATTTAATGCTAGGCACAATGCATAATTACGTATGCATAATTGTATAATTGCATTGAACTTTAGTCAAACACTGGCTTCTTTTGATTTATTGAGAACTGTTTTATTGTTCCTGTTCCAGGGTTCCACATACCCAGCAGAAAAACAGATGGTGACATAGGAAAATCCAAACACAATGACTCACATGAGACATCCCATAAATGCTTGCTGTTACTACTTTTGCTATTTTGCATCAAATCAGGTGGACCCGATGTCCATCCTATTCTGTCGTACCCTTAGAGATTTGGCCCTATTATTTACTCCTTTGCAACTTACAAGAGTAATTCAAATTTAAATTAGGACTTTTGCTTGAGAGTTCCAAGATATGTTACTAGCAAAGGGATATATACAAATGGGTAGATTGGGCTGGTTTGACCAGATTTAAACATTTGCTTCTCATTTAATCTAGTCATCTAGTCTAGTCTTTCAAATTTAGTTTAATATTATACAGAGTGACCAATTTCTTATTCCTGAAGTCATTTGACATTCAAGGGACATGGATAGGACAAAAGCATATATGCAAAAGCCCCATAGCCCCAAGCCTAGCTCATGGGAGGTTCTCAATCAGTCAACCAGTCAATCAATCAATCAATCAATCAATCAATGTATGTTGAATCAGAACCTAGTAGTCACTTACCTGATACAAAGAACTTTCCTTACTTTTAATTTGGTAATTGATAAAGATTGTCGTCTTTCAAAACATAATGCTCAATGTGTTTTTCTCTTTCCTTTAGTTAAAGATGTAGATGGTGGAATCGATCAAGATATATTTGATATCAATGAAGGTTTGTAGATTTTCTTTTTTACATATTTTAGTAAGTAGAGGGTTTGAATCCAATTTGCTAACATGAATTTTTATCTTCCCTCTTAGAATTGGGGCTGGATCTATTTGAGGGAGACATCAGACTTGATGGGGTGAGTTGAAACAAAGCAAGGAAGAATCTTCTATTAACTACTGCGAATTAAAGTACAGAGTATATGAGAATGATTGGACAACATGGGCTTTGTTAAGCCCAACTGTCTCTAGAGATACAATATCATAGAGACAGATGTATTCAATAAATACATTATACCCTGAGGGACTTGCATAATAATGCCTTCATTATCCATTACTCAGATTTCTGTGTGGTTAAAGCCATCGTCACTCACTATGTATGCCTTGATCTTATTGGTCCGATGAATTTTCATTATTGGGACAATATGATGCTTTCATTTTTATTTTCATTTAAGTTTATGTATTTATTTTGAGAGAGAGCACAAGGGAACAGAGGAGGGGCAGAGGGAGAGGAAGAGAGAGAATCCCAAGCAGGTTCCACACTGTCAGCACAGAGCCCCGCACAGGGCTCGAACTCATGAACTGTGAAATCATGACTTGAGCCAAAACCAAGAGGCAGGTGCTTAACCAACTGAGCCACCCAGGTGCCCTGATGTTTTCATTTTTAAATAAAACCTCCCTGATTTAATCTAGTTGAGGCCAAATTAAACTGAATTTTTAAACATATCAATGAATCAGAATTTTTACTGTAAAAGATAGATTTTGTGACTTCTATCCTGACAGCTAAAGATAGTGTTGCCAAGTAAAGATCTTGCCAAATCTATGCATGAAGAGTATATGGCACATGGATGAGCATAGATTACTTACAGGTAGTTCTGCTGGGAACTTCAACTCAAGAAGCAGAGCTGCAGTGTCTCAGGTTTAGTCTTGGGCTTGTTCTTCTATCTGTACTCTTTCCCTCTGGATCTCACCTTGTCCAAGGGCTTTAAACGTCATGTCTATGCTGATGATTCCGAAGGTGTGACTCTTATCCATTCCTTCTCCTGCACTCCAGACTTGTCTATCCAGGTGCCAACTGGTCAGTTCCATTTCCGCATTTATGAGGTGTCTCACATGTAAGGCGTTCTCAACTGGACACCAGTTTCATGCAAACTGCTCCTCCTTGACCTTCGCTCTTGGCAAAGTCATCACCCTACTCCTCTGAATAAGTAAAAAATCCGGGAGTCACCTTTGCTTCTGCTCTTTCTCTCACCCCTCCATCAGATCCATCAGTAAGTTCTGTCATTTCCAATGCAACACATGCCCCAAATAACCCACTTTAATTTGTCTCTCTATTTCAAATATTGCTCCCCTATAATTTTTTTCTCCCTGTCCCTGTCCCCACCCCCCTCCCAGCAACGTAGTCTTTTATTTATTTATTTTTTAAGTTTGTTTATCTTGAGAGAGAGAGCGAGAACACAAGTGGGAAGGGGCAAAGAGGGAGAGAGAGAGAGAGAGAGAGAGAGAGAGAGAGAGGATCCCAAGCAGGCTTCGCACTGTCAATGCAGAGCACAATGTGGGGTTTGATCTCACGAACCATGAGATCATGACCTGAGCCGAAACCGAGAGTCAGATGCTTAACCGACTGAGCCACCCAGGAGCCCCACAAAGTGGTCTTTTAAACCAGCAATGATATCATTTCACTTCCGGGCTTGAAACTCTTCAACAGCTTCCTCCTGCATGTAGAACAATAGCCAAACTTACCCACAGCCTTCAAGACCTTGCATAATTTAACTCCTGCCCACTGTTCTCCCATCTCCTCTCCTTCTTTCTTACTGTGTCTCTTTTCTCTCTTAACTCTTTAGGCTACTGGCCTCAAAACAGACTCAGAACATACCGAGTGTATTTGCCCCTCAGAACTAGCAGCCTTCCTCCATTACCTTTAAATTTATCCTGCTTAAACCTACTTATTTTCTTACATTTTAAATTTCATTTATTTCTAGATTAACTATTCATTGTTCCCTAGGTTTTTGCCTGATTCATTTAATTAACCCTTCACATTTATTTTTGACAGGCACAAGATAGAAATTCCATCATCGGAGAAAAATACAGATGGCCTCATACCATCCCATATGTTCTAGAAGATAGCTTGGGTTAGTATATACCTTGGAGAATCCATAACTGATGTATATTCCTGACAGAATATAATCACAGTATTTTCACGAGTAGGCTCTTATGGGCTTTCAGGATTTATTTGTTGCTTTATGTGGCTATGGACAAATATTTACTTATAAAAATAAGCAAAATGAACAATGAAAAGAACCACAGTGATTTTGTCTGAAATATTTGCTGAATTTTGACCAAGAAAGGGATTAACGCAACCAACATTTATGGAGAGCCTACTTTGTGTTGGCTGCTGGAGACACAAAGATCAGGAAGGTAGTCTTTATCTGAAAGCAGCCGTTTCCTCTATGGTCAGGTTTTTACGTATGAGTTGAAAACAAAAACAACCAGGGGCTCCTGGGTGGCTCGGCCAGCTGAGTGTCCGACTTCAGCTCAGGTCACGATCTTACAGTTTGTAGGTTACAGCCTTGCATCGGGCTTGCTGCTGTCGGTGCAGAGCCCGCTTCGGATCCTCTGCCCCTTCGCCCACAATGCTCCCTCGCTGGCTCTCTCTCAAAAATGAACAAACATTACATTAAAAAAAAACCCAAAATAAGCAAACATAAAACAACCAAACAAAACTTAGGGACTGGCATTGGTTTGCCAAAATTTTGTTTTGCCAAGCGAGGAACTTACCCAACAATAAGAACCCACTATCTTTATCATCATCTTTTCATAACATAAATAATATTTTAACACTAAAAAGTCAGAAGAATCCAATCCAAAACAAAAGACAGTATAGAAGAAATTTAATTGCAAAGGAAAACTCTAAATGTGGTCCTCATTTTATTTACAGTTTCAGTTGCCAGAATCATTTTAGCAACTGTTGTTTGGGAAACTCTTCTTTTCTTTTCTTTTTTTTAAGTTTATTTATTTATTTGGGGAGGGAGGGAGAGAGAGAGAAAGAGAGAGAGAGGGAGAGCGAGCACACAAGCAGGAAGGAGCAGAGAGAGAGAATCCCAAGCAGGCTCTGAGCTGTCGGCTCAGAGCCCAACGTGGGGCTCAGTCTCACAACTGTGAGATCATGACCTAAGCCAAATCAAGAGTCAGATGCTTAGCCAAATGAGCCACTGAGGTGCCCCTGGAAAGTTTTCTTAAACTTCATACATTTCAGTGGAGAATCAGATCGGCCAAAAGTTAATTACAATAGAACGGGATACATATTTTGCTTAATGACATGTTGAAAAGCTGTGGGAGCGCATTGCAGGGGCATGTGACTCAGCCTAGATGTAAAGGCATCAGGGGGCAGGTGACACTACGTAGCAGGGCCACCAGGACATTTATGCAAGTTGTACATGGTACATAGGCGCCTGGGAAGGGGGAAGTGGGACTGAAATCAGGTTTGCATTTCGTTCATCAAGAGGCATTTGTTTCTTTGCATGAAGTGCTATTTACTACCTGCCACGTCAAGACTTGCAGCATCTGCCCAGACGAAGTGCTCCTTTGTAATAATCCGCAGAAAGGCATCATGCGGGCCAGCATGGCTTCTGACAGCAAGGGAAGGGTGCTCCAGGCAGATGGACCACTATGCGCAAGGGCATGGGGAAAGGGTGAACCCTTAACTGGAATTTTGGTTGGAAATGGGGAGTTAGTGAGGTTGAATCTAGTTTGGAAAGACTTGAGTGTTTCCCACATTAAAGAACTTGGTGTGCATACTGATGGTGACATGGAATCTCCAGAAGTTTTAATGTGGGTGTGAGATTGTGATCAAGCTAGTTGCCGTAGAGAAGATGTATCATTAGTGGGGGGGAAAAAAAGGAAAAGAGATCAGATAAGGAATCTATAGAAGAAATTCAGGGAAGGATTGAGAGTTTCTGAACCAAGTCTCTCTCAGCGAGGATAGACAAGAACGGACAATTCTAAGACAGCCTTAGGAGGCAATTGTTAGATTTAGTGATTGACTGCAAGAAAAGGGATCGAGGTAAAGAGATGCTGGTGCCCAGGATTCAGTCTTAGGCAACTGAGTGCATGGTAGTGCCTGTAACAAGAACAGGGAATATGTCTGAAAGAGGGTGAGATACAGAAGTTTGGTGGAAATTGACATGCAGAGTTCGAAATGTATCAGGTCCACTGTGGTGGAGAGATCATATGAAGTATTGGTGTACAGCCTAATCATTCAGGATAGAGAAAGATTTGGGTGTTCTTAGGTTGTGGGAGGTGGTTGAAGCCACTGGTGTGATGAGCCCCTTGCACTGGTGCGATGAGCCCCGCATATAACACGTACTCCTTAGATAGATGGAGTGTATTGAATGGCCCAAGAAGATTGTATTGAGCAGGAAGATGGCCAAGATTGGAATTCAGCTTGGGAGAACAACTTTCTGGAATTGATATAGACGGAGGATCTGTTAGAAGTGACTGAGAAGGGAGGACTGGCCAGAAACATAGATGAAAAACCAAGAGGAGGTAGAAAAAGCCAAGGCCAGAGGTGGGATTAGAAACTATAATGTGGAAGGGAAAGATAGTCACTGACTTTAGGAATGGGGGGGAAATCTGAATGCCTTTAAATATTTATAATATTTTTTGGTCTTAATATTTTGATTAAAAATATAAAAATTCTTTTATTTTCAAATTATTTATAAAAATTAGAAAAATTGTTCTCCTAAGGTGTTCTATGAAATACCAGTGAGCTTTAAATTTCATTGTATCTCTTGGCTACTTTTGCCCTGAATTTTAACCAAAGCTATTGTAACTTTATGAGCTTTATGTACCTGTTTTAACACATTATAAAACAACATAGTGAATGCCTTGAGGCCCAGAGCTATTTTTCATCTTGCAAATCTGAGGATTAGCATAGTCTCTGACATTTTATAGGCAGTTAATACATATTTTTAAAACTAAATTGATAAACTGGGGTGACTGGCTAGCTCAGTTGGTAGAACATGTGACTTTTTTTTTTTAATGTTTATTTATTTTTGAGAGAGACAGAGTGTGAGTGGGAGAAGGGCAGAGAGAGAGGGAGGGAGACACAGAATCTGAAACAGGCTTCAGGCTCTGAGCTGTCAGCACAGAGCCTGATGCAGGGCTCAAACTCGGGAATGGTGAGATCATGATCTAGGCTGAAGTCAGTCGCTTAACCAACTGAGCCACCCAGCTTCTTTGAGCATGTGACTCTTGATCTGAAGGATGTGAGTTTGAGCCCCACGGTGGGCATAGAGTTTACTAAAAAAAAATACATATATATAAAAATAAATTGATAAACATATACGAATCAAACATGTCAGGTAAAAAATTCAGTCCACATCTTACTATCCAAACTGTGTACATTTTTATATGGGTATAACTACAGTGTTTTAAAATTTTTTTAGAGGCACTGGGTGACTCAGCTAAGCGTCTGACTTCAGCTCAGGCCACGGTCTCATGGTGTGTGGGTTTGAGCCCTGTATCAGGCTCCGCACTGACTATGCAGAATGGGATTCTCTCTCTCTCCCTCTCTTTCTGCCCCTCCAACTTCTCTCTCAAAATAAATAAACTTAAAAAATTGTTAAGTTGTTTTGCTTCATTTTTTATTCTATTTATTTACTTATTTATTTATTTAAGAGTAAACTCTATGCCCAACTTGGGGCGTGAACTCATGACCCAGAGATCAAGTCACATGCTCCACCGACTGAACCAGCCAGGAGCCCCCGTTTTAAATTTTTTAATCTGCTTTTTTCACTTGATATTACAGCATTATTTTGTGCTAGTTTTATAACATGATTAAACCCCAAATTTTTAGGTCATTTTTTAAATTCCATTATTTTGATTCTTTCTCATTTGGAAAATACTTTACCCCTGTTTAATATTGTAGCATTGAACTTACTCTTTATGCTTAAAGTGAGAAGAGGATTTCCTCATATTTCTGAAATTTATACCATCTTGAAATGACTCTGACTGAGGAAATCACTAAGCAAAGCCACCCTTACAGGTAGCAAAAGTAAATACCTATGAAGGGTTAGTAAATACCTATGAAGGGTTTACTGGAAGTGACTTTGGGCTCTCCAGAAGTCGCTCTTAACCAACATATTCAATTCTGCTTTAGTCTTTTTGCTTACATTCCGGGTGTTACCTGGCTGTTAGATGCAGCTTTTCTGGAAGGGGTGACTCTTGAGGCAGCCATGGATAGCTTCCTGTGAATAAGTGATCATTCCTTGCCTGGGTGTCAGACTTGACGTGTGTGGGGCAGGTAGAGAGCAGACAGGGTAAAAGGAGGGGGGATGGAAATGAAAATCAAGGTGCTAGAAACCTGAAAGGGCTAAAGAGAAAAATAATCCTGAGCAGCTGCTTGCTTAATTCCAAGGCTTATCTAGGACCTGCTTTAGCCTTCAGAGCCTGGGGATTTAAATAACATGATCCCGGGGTGGGGGTGGGGGTGGGGGGCTCCTGCATCTATGAGTCAAAGATAATTAGCCTTTGGTAATGAAGGCACACAGTAAATGAAGAGCTTATCTTGGTAGAGGGCTATATCCCTTTCACAAAACTTTCACATATGTTTCCTTATTTGACTCTCAATTCAATGAAGGGTAAAAACTATCCTTGTGGGGCGCCTGGGTGGCTCAGTCGGTTAAGCATCCGACTTCGGCTCAGGTCATGATCTAATGGTCTGTGAGTTTGAGCCCTGCGTCGGTCTCTGTGCTGACAGCCTTCGAGCCTGGAGCCTGCTCCGGGATTCTGTTGCTCTCTCCTGCCTCCTTCCTGACTGGCCTGCTCACTCTCTTCTCAAAAGATAAAAAAAAAAAAAAAAATTAGGGAGCCTTGGCATGTCGTTGCCGTCCGACTCGCAGGCGCATGGTCCTGGTCCGAGCTTCGACTGCCCGATCCACTTGTCGGGTTAGCCCAGCTTGAGCTGATGGCTCAGAGCCTGGAGCCTGCTTCGGATTCTGTGTCTGCCTCTCTCTGCCCCTCCCCGCTCATTGCTCTGATTCTCTCTCTGTCCCAAAAATAAATAAACGTTGAAAAAAAAAATTAAAAAAAAAAAAATTAAAAAAAAAAAAAGCTATCCTCATTAAACTTTGATAAAAGGCCTAGACCTGCATGCTCCTTCTACAGTCTGTCCTTAAAACAGGCTTGTGGTGGTGGGTATCATCATGTCTTATTGTAAGGAAGCGTTAGATTTGAGATAAGAATGCAAACATGATATTTATAGTACAGAAAATCCAGAAACACTTTAAATATCTGACAATAGGAAGTTACTTGTATATGTTACAGCCATATAAGGTAGCCATTAAAATGATAAAAAGAACACTTGATAAAGCTTTTAATGATACCCTATTTAGTGAAACACATAGTTTATAAAATATGTAGACTGATTTGTATTTTCTAAAAAATATGTGTATATTGTGAGCATATAACATACGAGCAAGAAGCTTGATGAGCGTGGCTGATTATTTCTGAAGTGATAAGATTTTATAATTTCCTTCTTTTTGTTTATCTGCATTTTCTAACTTACTTGCAATGAACATGTTTTATTTGTGTGGTATTATAAAAGGTGGAATTCTGGGTGCCTCATATAAACTCATATGGATTTTAGGGCCCCCTATGTGAGTCCTGTTCTTGATCCTCACCGAAACAGAGGACCTTCCTACTAATTGTTTTCAAAAGTGCAATGGTCATGTAAGAAGGGAGGAAGGACATGAACATTCGATAAATGTTCATTTTACTTGGAACTGCCCCTCTGCTTTCTCCTACCCTCACATTATCTCCTGAAAAGTTGATTTTATTTTATTAAAAAAATTTTTTTTAATGTTTATTTTATTTTATTTTTTATTTTTGAGACAGAGAGAGAGAGAGCATGAACAGGGGAGGGTCAGAGAAAGAGGGAGACGCAGAATCTGAAACAGGCTCCGGGCTCTGAGCTGTCAGCACAGAGCCTGACGTGGGGCTCGAACTCATGAACCGCAAGGTCATGACCTGATATGAAGTCGGCCGCCTAACCGACACCCCTTATTTTATTTTATTTTTAAGTTTATTTATTTATTTTGAGAGAGACAGAGACAGCGTGAGTCGGGGCGGGGCAGAGAGAGAGAGAGAGAAAATCCCAAGCAGGCTCCACACTGCCAGCTGCCATCACAGAGCCCAATGTGGGGCTTGAATTCACTAACCTTAAGATCATGACCTGAGCTGAAACCAACAGTCCAACACCTAACTGGCTGAGTCTGATGCTTAACTTTGCGCCTGCAAAGTTGATTTTATTTCCCCACTTAGCTGATAATTTTAGAAAACTCTGAAGGTGAATTGAATTGGCAAAGGTTACGCATCAAAAGTGATGAGGATGGGAAAGAACTTAGGCGTCTCTGGCTCAGAGTCCAACTGCTTTCCACTTGGCCACACTGTCTCCCACTTCCCAGGAACCACCATCCTTCCCAGGAACCCCTTCCTCCGGGGTTGCCCTCCAAGCTTCTTTTCCTGAATGTCTTTGTTGCTTTCATGCCTCTGCCTTTTTTGAAACAACGGTTAACTCTAATTTGGGTCCTGAACTCACTTGAGAATCTTATGAACAGTTTCCCCAGGAAATGCACTTTGCAGATATAGGTATAGACAGCTACAGATGAGATATAAATACATAGGTGATATATAGATGATATAGATACAGAATAGATACAGATGATAGAAGTACAGATATGGATGCTGCACCTACCATTCTGGAATATTCCTGGACTCCCATCTCAAGGTCCTCAAATTACAAGCTCTGCTGTGAGGCTTTAAATACATACTGTAGCTTCTCAGATGAAGCATGTGACAGTGATGGTTCACTCTGGCTGCCTGTGATCCAAGGTGTTTGTGCTCTGAGGTAAAGGTATGGTTTTTGTTGTTGTTGTTCAGTAACGCACCTCTAGTGGTTCCAAAGAAACAAATATGGGGCAAAATCAAGGATCTGAAGAAGAACCAAATACTTGCATATGATACATACTTAATTGGGACTGAATACTAAATTTGGTAAAAATAAAACACTAAACATTCAGGAAGGGACTAACTCATGATAAACAATGTAATGCATAGCCCATTTCCATGGTGAATTGTTTAACGGTGATAATGTTAATAAGTGTATTTTTTGTTGGTTTTCTTCCTTCAGAAATGAATGCTAAGGGAGTTATCCTTAACGCATTTGAACGCTATCGCCTAAAAACATGCATTGACTTCAAGCCTTGGACTGGAGAAGCTAACTATATATCAGTGTTCAAGGGCAGTGGGTAAGGTGGAAAGTTTGTCTTCTAAGGGTTCAAATGCCAACCATCGCAGGTATGGCCTGTCACAACAATTGCCCTAGTCCCTGACCTTGAGGGTGGGTGGGGGCTTCCTTAGCTGTTTGCTGGAGCGTAAAAGACAAACTACATCTAGTTTCTCTAGCCATAAAAATAATATTTTCACACATGCAACCAGACTACCCACATTAAGGCAAGGAGGGTGGGATTGCATGCCATCCAGCCCATAACTTAAGGAACTTCAACCATTTGTAGTTTACATAGTTTTTATTTCCCTCTTTCAGTAAAACGCGTGTACACACGTGTATTTCAATTTATTTTCTTTTTCTTTCTCTTTCTCTTTTTTAAAAAGCTTTGGATATTTTTTATTTGATTGTGTAATTCAAAACATGTAGCACTAAATTGTGCCAGGCATTATTTTAAGAGTTTTATAAGTATTAACTAATTTAGTCTTCAGAGCTAACCTGCAACATAGGTTCTGGTTTTCTCTCCCATTTTACAGATGAAGAAATGGACTCAGCCAGAGGAATGGCTAAGTCCTGAGTCCATGCTCTCTCTTTTTTTTTTTAATATAATTTATTGTCAAGTTAGCTAACATGCATTGTATATAGTGTGCTCTTGGTTTTGGGGGTAGATTTCCCGTATTTCAATTTATTTTAACCTAACTACACTTACTGCTTGAGTTACACTGAGTATTATTTGCCTGGGGCTTGGCAATTCGATGTGGTTGCTACACCTACAAAACTTTATGAGTGGTCATCAACATACCAAGGACCATGTGAAAAACTTGGACATTTCTAGAAAAAAATCAGGACTCGGTTGATCGGGGGATGCCTTGCTCCCGTGTAATATTTGGTGGCAGGACCAGTTCTCCAAAAATCATGTGATCTGTGAGGTTATGAGAGGGAGGCAGTGTCCTGATAAAAGAGTGAAGGATGTAGGTGGGTTAAAGGAGAGGACCGGGCACTGGGGATTGTGCCCCGAGGCCTCAGCCTGCATGGTGAGAACACCCTCTCCCCCTGTCCCGTGAACTCTCCTGTAAGCTGCTGGTCTTCAGTGGGCAACATGCATGTTGGGAAGCAAGAACTCTCCATCGGGGAGAATTGTGACAGAATAGCGACAGTTCAACACGAGTTCCTCCACGCCCTGGGGTTCTGGCATGAGCAGTCTCGTTCCGATCGGGATGACTACGTCATGATAATGTGGGACAGGATTCTGTCAGGTACATTTCTTTTGTTTTCTTACATTTTGGGCCACAAACTGAATTTCTAAGCATGTGCTATCTCCTGCCGACCGTTAATAATGGGAAAACTGAAGTGATGCTTTACTTCACGTGCATGAGTTCACGTGCCTGAAGGTTGTTGGGGCACTGATACACCAGACCCCTGGTGCATTGGAGCTGGACGGGATCTAAGAAGCTGGTGTTTCCCAAAACACATTTTAGGGAGTGCTGTCCCACAAAATGCTCCCAGATGTGTGCGGAAAGAGATCCGCAGTCCAATTAGTTTGGGAAATCCTAGGTTAAAATACATTAAACTTGAGTTACTGATACCGCTTTACTGTTCAGAGTCTCCATTAGAGTAACACATATTGTAAATCTCCAAATAAGAAGCATTTCCCGAACTGACTTGATCATCGCCTTTTTTTTTTTTTTTTTTTTTTTTTTTTTTTTGAGTATTTGTGTTTGTTGTTCTATGGAGCCCATACTGGGAAACACTGCAGCAATTGATGAGCCGGAACTTTTTGGGACTTTCTATTCCAAGTCAGAAATGTCTTAATAACATTGTACAACTGAAGCTCGTGTTTTCCACAAGGACGCTTAGTGTCCCCATCTGTCCTGCCTGCAGAGGGTACGGTGGAGGGAGTGGTATTGCTGTCCTATGAGGCATTGTGGGGGCTGCTCGGTACTGAGACCCCTGAACATCACAGCTCAGTGATATTGCTGTCTGGTGATCTCAACCGGGGTAAGGCACAGCAGCGGACTACAAGATTTCTGGAGCAAGACAAGTGCTTAGCTTCAATCCATCATCTCACTCTTTAAGATTCCCTGGGTCTTACTTTGACAGAAACTTCTGTCCAGATTTGATAACACATCTATAAGCTTTGGAGATCAGTTCCACCTCACTGTTTCCCCTAAATCATCCCATTTCAAGTTGCAACCAGACGCTCATCAGTGTGATGCTAAACAACCAGGTATCTTCTCTGAATGTATTCGTTTTAAAAACTTGCACACGTGTTCCAGTAACCGTGAAATCCCTGAGTACGTCAGTTCTTTCTAAGGACTCCTGCCTGTATTATCATTCCGAGGTCCCTTCCCACCACACTTCCCAACGTCCTCTTACCTCCACCTCCATCTGCTTTGGGTGCCCCCACCCTCCCACGAGCACCTGCCAATGACCTTGACTGTGTCGATAACACCTTTTAGAATCTACCTTTCTAATAGAAGCTCTTAGAGCCTTACACTAAATGCTAATGTCCAATCTTGGGCAGTGATGGAAGCCTAGAGTAAGATAAGCTAAATTTTGTGAACATCGAGTAATTAAAGATCTTTTTAAATTTAACATTTAGGCAGAGAGCACAATTTTAACACCTACGATGACCAAGAATCAGACTCCTTGAATGTTCCCTATGATTACACGTCAGTAATGCACTACAGTAAGACGGCTTTCCAAAATGGAACAGAACCAACAATTGTAACACGAATCTCAGACTTCATGGATGTGATCGGCCAGCGAATGGATTTCAGCGACTATGATCTCTTAAAGTTGAATCGACTGTATAATTGCTGTATGTGGCAGGTTCTTTGAAATGTTTTCTGTGTCTCTCTGCCATGGAGGGGAAAATGACGTGCCGTGCCATTTTGCCGAGCATTGCTGGCTTTTCTGCAATTATGGTTAGATAATTGATAATTATAGTTTTTTTTTTTAAATTTTTTTTTCAACGTTTATTTATTTTTGGGACAGAGAGAGACAGAGCATGAACGGGGAAGGGGCAGAGAGAGAGGGAGACACAGAATTGGAAACAGGCTCCAGGCTCTGAGCCATCAGCCCAGAGCCTGACGCGGGGCTCGAACTCACGGACCGCAAGATCGTGACCTGGCTGAAGTCGGACGCTTAACCAACTGCGCCACCCAGGCGCCCCGATAATTATAGTTTTTATAGTTGACGTTTGATATTAAAAAAAATAACAAACGTATAAACACCCAAATCCCAATCCATACCTGGGAAGCAATATTTTTCTTCTTAGAAGTTCTGGCCTTTAGCTCTACAAACAAATTGGGTCCTATAGTAACATGCCCCATGTTGATTTTTAAAGAAGGAGCCATCATATCAATGGGATTTTATAATCTGGGTTGCTGTTTAATAATCTGGGTAACGAGAAGAGTGTAGACTCACGTTCCAGAATCAGCGAGGTGTTCCCTTTAACGCGATCCTGGCATTCCCAGTACTTCCATGACAGTTTTTATTACCTGGATTATCATGTTGTAGGAGTGTCGATAACTGTGTGTGTGTGTGTGTGTGTGTGTGTGTGTGTGTGTGTGGTTTGTTTGTTTGTTTGTTTGTTTTTGCTTTTGTAGCCTCTTCCTTGAGCTTTCTGGACTCGTGCAACTTTGAACTGGAAAACGTGTGCGGTATGATTCAAAGTTCAGGTGATAGTGCTGACTGGCAACGGACTTCCCAGGTCCCCAGGGGCCCAGAGAGCGATCACTCCAACATGGGCCAGTGCAAAGGTAACATGAGTGAGATACTTCTAGATTTTACACTTGGTGGCTCCAGTCTTTTCCTTGGCCATGAAAGACTGGGATTTTGTCTCTAATTTCTATCTGAACTATTAATGATAACCCATTCAGTTGCTACTAAGGAAACAGTTCTGTGCCTTGTAAGGACATGGTTCATTTCTTTGCTTTTACTCTCTGACTTGTCTTTCTGTGAGTCAGAATTGGGCTCTGTGAAGCCTCTCTACCTATACGTGCCCACAGCAGGAGGGGACAGTATCTCCCGGAAAGACTCTTATCTACAGGGCAGTGGGGTGGTTTTCTCAAAGCTTGCCAGATACAAGACACTTTGCAGTCAACGGCACAATGTTGTGAATTAATCACTTTCAGAATTCCAGCTGGTTGTGATTACATGCTCCTGTTACAAGAATCCTTACAATGAAGAGTCAAAGTACAATTGATTTAATTTTTGTCAGATGAGTATCCTTTTCCATAATAATTTTGTTTTAAATTAAATAGTCATTTATTTGGCTACAAGTACTCAATTTTTATTTATTTGCTCACTTCTGGCAATAAAGATGTAAAACTAGACTTCAAAACTTAGGGTCATTGCATGAGAGCTCAGCCAGTCTAGGCAGTGGTTGAGGTCCCTAACAGCAAAAAGTGTTTTTCTTTTTCTTTTTCTTTTTCTTTCGTGGAGGATGGTGGGGTGGGGTGGGGGGGACGGCAGAGAAGACAGATGTTAAGGGTACAAACTTGCAATCAGTAATAATAAGCCCTGGAAATCTAATGCACAGTGTAGTGACTATAGACAGGAATATTATATGCTAATCATCAAACTTATTAACAACTAGAACTTAATTATTCTTACAACAAAAAAGGGATAATAATTATGTAACATGTTAGGGGTTGTTAATTATTGCTACAGTAGCAGTCATATTATAATATATAAATGTGTCAAATTAACATCTTGTACACCTTAAATTTGCACCATGCTATATGTCAAATATATATCAATAAAAATACAATTTTCTTTTAAAATGCAGATTAGGGGGCACTTGGGTGGCTCAGTAGGTTAAGTGTCTGACTCTTGATTTCAGCTCAGGTTGTGATCTCACCATTTGTGGGATCAAGCCCTGCATTGGGCTCTACTCTGACAGCATGAGCCTGCTTGGGATTCTCTCTCCCTCTCTCTCTGCCCCTCCCACACTCATGCTCACACTCTTTCTGTCTCTCTCTCAAAATAAATAAACACTAAAAATAAAATAAAATGCAGGGGCACCTGGGTGGTTCAGTCGGTTAAGCGTCTGACTTCAGCTTGGGTCATGATCTCACAGTTTGTGGGTTCGAGCCCCACATCAGGCTCTGTGCTGACCGCTTGTTCAGAGTCTGGAGCCTGCTTCAGATACTGTGTCTCCTTCTCGCTCTCTGCCCCTCGCCCGCTTGAGCTCTGTCTCTCTCTGTCTCTCAAAAAATAAATAAAAATGTTAAAAAATAAAATAAAATAAAATAAAATAAAATAAAATAAAATGCAGACTTGGATAGTGGGTAGTGGTCCTCCATAGGCCAGAGGAAGGAGAAAAGAAAGGAGGGAGGGAGAAGGAGAGAGAGAGAGAGAGAGAAAGAGAGAGAGAGACTAGACCAAGTAGGTGACACTTTTTTTCTGATTTTGAAAGCTATAGTATGGAAAAAAGGTGGCCTAATGTCTGTTTTAGAAACTGCCTGCTCCTGGAGCTGCATTTAAATGCCCAATCTAGTGTTTTACACACAGCGGGTACTGAGGGGAACTACTGTGCCCAGAAGACGTGCATTCCTGTATGTAGTATCTGTTTTCTCTCAATTCTGCTTTTGTTTTCATAACAGGTTCTGGTTTCTTCATGCATTTCAACAGTAGCTCTGTAAGTGTGGGGGCCACAGCAGTACTGGAAAGTAGAACATTCTACCCTAAAAGAGGATTTCAGTGCTTGCAGTTTTATTTATATAACAGTGGAAGTGAAAACGACCAACTGAACATCTACATCAGGGAGTATTCCGCAGACAACGTGAATGGCACTCTAATGCTTGTGGAAGAAATAAAAGGTACAATATTGACATTCTTATTGTCTGAGTCCAGATAAGGCCATCTTAATTCTTTAAGTCTCTAGCACTGAGGAGGTCCGTTCTTGGCTAGTGATACAAATATAATGAAAACTAGGCAAAATGGGAAGAATTTCTGAATGTAAAGGAATTGTGGGATGGACGAGGAAGGAACTGGCCTCAGGCAGGACTGGACCTGTCCCTGAACATGGTTGGAGACCTCTCATGTTATGTCAGATGGGCCCGGTCCACAAAACTGGTGCTTTGGGTATTTTACTTCCCAGCTTACAGTTCATCAAATGTGCCATTAGCCTGGAAAAGGGACACTTCCTCTGATTTCTAGCTTGAAAAAAAAAAAAAACAAAAAAACCCAGTGAAGAATTCTAATTGTTATGATTTGGGTTAAGTGCAACTTCTAGAGTAATTCCTGAGCGAAGAGAAAGCAACACTCATTCCAATCATGTGGCAGAGAGATGGGTCATGTTGACCAACTTTAAAAGCAATGGTTAAGAAATTTCAGGAAGGGAGGGGCCGTGGGCTGCCAACTCTATCGCTGTCTCTCCACATATTGACCACTTGGTTTGAGTGAATTGAGTAAAACCTATTATAAAATCCATCTACATTATGCTATGTGTCATGCCATTTTCCTCCCGTTTAACAATGGGAAACAGTCTGCAACACAGATGATACTTTCTTTTGTGAACACCTACAATAGGGTCTTAATATCATTTTATATAAACATATACATATATGTGTATACCACAGGCTGTACATATATAACATAATTATATATACTCTACAATTCCGTATATAATATCACATATATGTATATATACACATTATACATAGTATATATTTAATCCTTTCCATTAACAATCTGCGGGTGGGTGTTATCACTAGCGATCAATAGCACAAAGGGTACTTAAGAAACTTGCTTATGAGAAAGAATTTAACACAATTTAAATGAACAGTACCGATAGTAATGAAGTGGAATCTCTCGTGAAAGATTTTTGTTCAATCCAGAGTCTATCCACGGACAATAGCATTTTCTGTAATTTGGGTATTTTCGTCTTATTTTCGCATAATTGTGCTTCACATTAAGTGCCAGTACTTTTAAGTTTGAAGTCATCGTGCGAACTACCAGTTCGACATGAATTCCTGAGCTGTTTTCTTTACTTGGGGGCTTCTGAAATTTTTTAAGTGTATCGCTCCTTATTTGGGCATGTGATGTAAGAAAATAAGACAAGATAACATAGCCTGTGCTGCTAGCTAAGGGTAGGGGATGATAGCGAAGGGGGAAGTATGCACCAGGGAGAAGGCTGATGCTATCAAATACTAGATAAATATTTATAATGTTGAGTCACTGGTAAATGATCTAAGGACTCAATTGTGGGTGTGGGCTTTCTAGGGTTGGGTGGATTTCTGTGTAATACTGCCAAAACACTGGCTGAAAGCGCCAAAACACTGGCATGTGAAGGAAGTATTTCAAACTATAAATACGTTAAATAAGGCTTTGGTTCAGTATCCCAGGAATCCTGGGCACAGTGTAGATATCAGTTTTAACTAACATATAATGGGAGACAACTCCTCTTTAGGGCATGGAATACTCATAAGTTAGATGTTGGTGTTTGCTTACCCTTCGCTGGACACAGGTGACTACCTGAGAAACAAGCAGATAAACATCCAGATATTCCAGGGAGCAGTTTGACCCCAAAGAAATGCCTTGAAGTGAATGGGCTTGGGCTGGAGAAGTGAGAAAAACACACTGCAGACCTGTAGGAACTAATAGCTCTAGGATGATAATCTGTCCTGCGAAGGTTAAAACTCTAATGTTGATTTGCACATGATTCGTAGTCCTTTGTCTTCTTTGAAATAATAATGTCTCTTTTGCAGATATACCCATTGGAAGCTGGCAACTTTACCATGTGACATTGAAAGTGACCAACAAATTTAGAGTGGTGTTTGGAGGGGTCAGAGGCACTGGTGCATCATTGGGTGGCCTGTCTCTTGATGACATCAATCTTTCAGAAACACAGTGCCCTCATCATATCTGGCATATAAAGAATTTCACACAGATTATTGGCAGCTCGAATGAAACTATATATAGCCCTCCATTTTATTCTTCTAAAGGTTATGCCTTCCAGATTCAGTTGAATCTGAATCATTCGACTAACGCAGGAATATATTTCCACTTGATCTCTGGAGCCAATGATGATCAATTACAATGGCCATGTCCTTGGCAACAAGCCACGATGACACTTTTGGATCAAAATCCTGACATTCGACAGCGTATGTCCAACCAGCGGAGTATAACTACAGACCCATTTATGACCACCGGTTCGTGACTTATTTCCTTTACTGCTAATACACGGTCATTTGTCTAGGAGGGATGGACAATTTGGGAATGAGAGACTGCACAGTCGGGTACTTAGGGATTTCTGAGCCCCAGATTTTAGGAACACAAGACATTGAAGGGAAGGGCTTCAGCAGGTGTGGACAGAGTACCCCAGGCAGGCCACTGTGAAGAATGTCAAGAGGCACTGTCTCTGAAAAATAGAGAAGACACTGACTATTCCTGGCAATTGATCATACCTGAATTCCAGTTGTCCAAGGAGTGTTGGTTTTGCAGTCTGGCATGCCTCGGTTAAAATCCAAGGTTTGCTTCTCATTAGCTATGTGATGTTGATTAAATAGTCTTTTGGAGCCTCAGTTTCCTCAGCAGTAAAACTGGGGCAGTAATAGTAACCACCCCTCGCCACTGGGACTATCAGACAAAATTCAGCTCTTGTAGAAGGGGATGGTTTCCGATGAGAGGAAAGATGTTGAGCTCCTGGAGTGTTGGGAAGGCTGTGAGAATGGATCATAATTTCTTACTAAAGAATTCTGGAGAGCTCGCCAATGGTGACATCATTCCCCATCTTTTCAGTCTCAAAAAGGAACAGCTCCCAGAAGGCAATGATCACATTTCTAATTTTTTTTTTAATTTTTTTTTTCAACATTTATTTATTTTTTGGGACAGAGAGAGACAGAGCATGAATGGGGGAGGGGCAGAGAGAGAGGGAGACACAGAATCGGAAACAGGCTCCAGGCTCTGAGCCATCAGCCCAGAGCCCGACGCGGGGCTCGAACTCACGGACCGCGAGATCGTGACCTGGCTGAAGTCGGACGCTTAACCGACTGCGCCATTCAGGCGCCCCAACATTTCTAATTTTAATAATCCTTTGCCTTCTGGGAGCCTAATAAAAAATGAAGTTATGGCAAGGTGACTATTATTGCCAAATCTGAATTCTATATATGAAAAAAAAAATGGACCTATGTGACTTAGGAAAAAGAAAAACCATTAATTTGTTAGGAAAAAAAATATTCACAAAGAGGATTGTAGGAACTTGATGCTCAGATTTCTTCACTTTTTTTTTTTCCCAAAGCATTTTTGCCTGAATGACATTGAAAATGGCTCAAAGTTGGGTGGGTCATCGCCTTTCCCCAGAAGCAGTGCTTCTCACTGTCTTCTAGAAGGACTTTGCTGTTAGGTGAATAATTCAGTTAATGAGATGAATTGTTCTATGTTAATATTCAAAACTCTCTCGGGACACCTTGCTGGCTCAGTCAGTAGAGCATGACTCTTAATCTCGTGGTCATGAGTTTGAACCCCACATTGTAAAGATTACTTAAAAAATACAATAAAAAAAAAACCTCTCTCAGAAACGTATTGATTCAACTTAGTTAAAAGGACCACCTATGACTCGAGGCCACTGAGAAATGATTTTAATGGGGAGGGAGTTTCTATGCCGGTCAGGAAGTATAGGTGTGATACCGCATCTAGGAAACTTTTGGTATCTCTCCACTCAGATTCCAGAATGTGCTCCTCCTTACTAGGCAATCTCATTTTCTTTAGGACAGTATAAATGAACAAGCTTCAGTGACTTGCCAGAGAATACATCACAGGTCAATAGCATCATTTAATTATTTTGAGCTCTATCCTAATTGCGTTTCACATTGCCCGTTCTTTCCTACCACAAAAAGCTATGATGATGCTAAACACAATCCATTAATATAAATTGCTTTTTCAGATAATGGAAACTATTTTTGGGACAGGCCATCCAAAGTGGGATTAGTGGCTTTTTTCCCTAATGGAACGGAGTTTAGAAGAGGTATGGGCTTTGGAACCGCTGCCTTTATAACCTACAAGAGGCTGAAAAGCAGAGATTTTATAAAAGGAGATGATGTTTATATCCTACTGACCGTGGAAGGTATGTCAGCAAAAATAGTTTTATACAAGCTATTTTTGTTGTTGTTGTCGTGGCCATTGATTATTGACTGCGTTCTTCTGGGTTCCATTTTTAGGTATAAGAGTAAATGGGCATGAGTGGGAGTTTTTCTTTCTGGCATAAATTATTAACAATAGGAAAGTAATTTAAATAAAAACAGTGACCATTCCAGGATAAAGAATTTAATTACCACTACATGGAGCAATGGAAAATTAGGACAGAAATTTTCTCTAGAAACAAGTTAAAGTATAGCTACTATACCCTAAATTATACTCTAAGATTCCAGAAATAGAAATATCACACAAGCACATGAAATGAAACTGGAAATGAACTGTCTCTATTGTGTCTTTCAAATATATATTCATACATATATACATATATATGAGCACACAAATGTATATTTTATGTATCATATATAAGCATACACATATATATTTTGTCAGTAATAGCATTAATCTATTGTCTTTTAAATTTCTTACCCGCGGCAGCTAGTAAATACATTTTTCAGGAATACTGGTGGTTTCCGTGTTTCATGTAGCACAATTTTAAGTCATTTACTATTAAAGACCCTCTTACAGCTCTGTAAATCAGAATCTTGTTTGCGATGAAAGGTGGTGCAATTAAAATCCATGAAATCTTTTTTTAGTTTATTTAAGAGAGAGAGCGCGCGAGCATAAGCAGGGAGAGGGGCACAGAGAGAGGGAAAGAGAGAATTCCAAGCTGGCTCCACACTCAGCATGGAGCCCAATGCAGGGCTTTATCTCACGACTGCGAGATTCATGAGCTGAGCTGGTACCAAGAGTTGGATAGTAGAGGCACCTGAGTGGTTCTGTCAGTTGAGCGTCTTACTCTTGATTTTGGCTCAGGTCATGATCTCACAGTTGTGAGAATGTGGAGACTCTTGGTTTTCTCTCTCTCTCCCTCTCTCTGCCCCACCCCTGCCCACATGAGTACTCTCTAAATAAATAAATAAATAAATAAATAAACAAACATTAAAAAAAAAAAAGAAAAGTTGGATGCTTAACTGACTGAGCCACTCAGCTGCCCCAAAACCCATGAAATTTTTATGTCAGTGTCAATTAGAGTAAATCTAGATGATACTTCTTGGAAAAAATTATTCAAGAATAACTCTCCTGCAGGGTGTCTAGCTGGCTCAGTTGGTAAAGCATACAACGCTCGATCTTGGAGTTGTAAGTTCAAGCCCCATGTTGGATATAGAGGTTACTCAAAAATAAAATCTTTTAGGGGCACCTCTGGGTGGCTGAGTTGGTTGAGCTTCCAACTTTGGCTCAGGTCATGATCTCACGGTTTGTGAGTTCGAGCCCTGTATCAGGCTTACTGCTGTGGGCACAGAGCCCACTTCAGATCCTCTGTCCTCCTCTCTTTCTGTCCCTCTGCCACTTACACTCTCTCAAAAATAAATTAGCATTAAAAAATAAAATCTTTGGGGTGCCTGGGTGGCTCAGTCGGTTGGGCATCCGACTTCAGGTCAGGTCATGATCTCACGGTTCATGAGTTCGAGCCCCACGTCAGGCTCTGTGCTAACAGCTCAGAGCCTGGAACCTGCTTTGGATTCTGTGTCTCCCTCTGCCCCTCCCCCACTAGCACTCTGTCTCTCAAAAAAATGAATAAATGTTAAAAAATAAATAAATAAAGTCATTAAAAATTAAAAAAAAAAGAATAACTTTGTTGAGGGACAAACAACTGCTACTTTTACGTAGCAGAGAAAAAGTCACATATTCATCACCTAGGTTCAACACTGTTTGGATAAGAAGCAATAGAAAACACTACAAGCATCAGAGCCCTGGTTGTTGGGGGGGCCTGGTAGCTTATGTCAGATATCCACCAACTTGCTCTCCCTGAGCAAGAATCCTGTGACCTTGGGCAAGCCCATCAGTCACCTTGCATTTCTGTGCTTTATCTTCATGTCTGTCCCTTGAGGGTGGATTATAAGGGCTTAGACCCTTTCTAGCTCAAGCAAGCCCAAGCTCAGGTAAGCATGTGGTTCAGTTGATGACCCCAAAGGCTGGTCCAGTTCCTGTCTGTATCTAGATTTCTACCTATTAATTATTTTACTGGCTGGGAAACCTAAGCATCTATTTTGAAACTTAAGGATCAAATGCTTGTTAAAGTCAAACTGATGTCCATCCATGCTCTCCCTCTGCCCTCCTTAGACATATCCCACCTTAATTCTACACAAATTCCACCAATCCCAACCGCTAACATCAATGACCTCTGCACAAACTTCAAATGTGAGAACGACGGCATCTGCGTTGTCCGAAATGGCAAGGCCGAGTGCAGGTAAGGGGTAACTTGGACAAGATCTCCCCATTCTCCTGTTAGAAATGTTATCACTTACACAATATAGGATCAGATACTGATATTTTCTGTGAGTGAAATCAGTTGATTCTCATCTCAAAGCCATTCATGGGATATTTATTTTTTGGTCTCCATTTGGGACTTTGGATAGCCACAAGAAGAATAAAATTATTTATGAAGAAATAGTACATTGTATTGTAATTGCCTGAAAAAGTCCTCATGTGTTACAGACCTTATTAAGTCCTCACAGCAGTCTTGTGTGGTAAAGTGTGACTGTCACTATTTTTTAGATGGAGATTGTTCTCAGAAGTTCTGGGATGAGTTTGGCCAAGAGGTATGGGGGGGAGGTTAAGGGACTGAAACACTGAGAACCAAATTTTCTCCGTTACCTACACCACCTTCCTTTCCTACCTCAGAGCCACTATTTTGAGTACCAGATGAGCAGTGATTCCATGTCTTTACCACTGGCCTTGCCTGGCCCTCTGGAGCTAGTCTATCCATTCCCCTCCAGTTGAGTTCCATATGCCAATGACCCGAATGTTGAGCCGCACCCTTAATGGCGAAGATTTTCAGACTGAAATATCAACTCATAACTCTGGATCATGTTCCGACGTGCAGGTGTCTGTCAGGGGAAGACTGGTGGTTCCTGGGCGAAAGGTGTGAGAGGAGAGGCTCCACCCAGGATACCATTGTCATCGCTGCATCTTCTACTGTTGCTGTGTTTGCTCTGATGCTGATAGTCACCCTCGTCAGTGTCTATTGTACCAGAAAGAGATATCGTAGGAGGACAACTTCAAATACAACAGACATGACTCTGGAAAATGTAAGTTGAGCCTGGTATTTGGTTGTTCAAAACCTACTGATGAAATCATATGCAGAAGAATTAGGACTTTCTTACATACTTTAAAAAAAAAATCTCTTTATTCCCTATGTTGGATAACAGCTTTGAAACTATACATTCTTATTACCTTCTCTATAAGTCAATGGTTCTTGGAGTCCATGAAGGCTTTGGGGGAGGAGTTTATATCCTCCTGGACTTGTATCTAAAGTTGTGTCTGGTTGTACATTTTTTTCTGGGATGAGGGTCTGTGACCCTTCTGAGAGGCAAAACTGATTTTGCCATAAGTTCCAACCTTCCTGTTAGAGGTGACAGGTGATAAGTGTTTTTGTTCTAAAGGTATTTCAGGGGTGATTGAGCTCAGGTTTGTTGGAAGGGAGTGCTGGCATGTTTGATGCTTTTCCATTAAAAAAAAGTTCCAATTCATTCTGGCTTCATGTGCAGTAACTAACCTTGAGGCCAGATGTTTTTAAAATTTTTTTTAATGTTTATTCATTTTTGAGATAGAGAGAGCATGAGCAGGTGAGTGGCAGAGAGAGAAAGGGAGACACAGAATCTGAAGCAGGCTCCAGGCTCTGAGCTGTCAGCACAGAGCCCAATGTGGGGCTTGAACCCATGAACCATGAGATCATGACCTGAGCCGAAGTCAGATGCTTAACCGACTGAGCCACCGAAGTGAGTCCAGATTTTCAAGTAGAGGGTTTAAAGTCTTGCCTCAGAAGGTCTCTAAAATGTCAATAGCCTCTTGTAGGTCTCAGATTGGATTCCCCGGGAGACAGTGCTCCCAGCAACACAGAGTAAAGGAGTAACAGAGTGAGAGAAGCTGGACAGGGCAGAGGGTGAGATTGCACTGTGGTGACCTTGCACTTGAGGCCTCGGCCCTGCTATGAGGGGCTCTGGAGCTGGGATAGTGTCCTGAATTTAGGCAAGGGGGCCAGGCTGTTGTACTCTCCCTCATCAACAACCATTGGATGGGGGTTGCCCCATAACCAGAAAAATGGTTATTGAAGACATACCGTTTTAAGACAATGACTTTTTGAAGTGGAAAAACTGGTATTGAGACACTAAATTTGCAAAGTTAGGTAAAAGATGGACAATGATAAGGAACGGAAAGCATACAGTTTTATTCTATACATGGCTGTCACATTTCCTCAACGTCAGGAAGTGTTTAAAGCTAATAGTAAAGCAATAGCCCGATTATTTCACAAGCTTATTAGAAAAGTACTTAAAATGTATACAGGTGTTTTGCTGTGTTTGCTTTTCAGACATGTATTTCCAGCTTACTTGATGACTCAAAATAGAAGGGACAGATTGGCCAATGACCTAGTAGGCCAACCTGGTGGAAGCTGCACCTGCAGGCATGGTACACTGGGCCAGTAGGGATGCACATGAAAACTAGAGTCGTGGTTAGAAAAGAGAGGACACAGTAGCTGGTGGATGGGACCACCATGTTATTCTTTTGGAAACTGGAAAATATAAGTGCTGTTATAAGGGCGGATTTATGAAGCAAAAATTGGAAGGAATTAAAGAAAATGGTAAAGAGAAGAGAAAGAAAGAAGGAAGTTAAATCAAGAAAGGGGAAAATTTGGGGCGCCTGGGTGGCTCAGTCGGTTAAGCGTCCGACTTTGGCTCAGGTCATGATCTCGCGGTTCCTGAGTTCAGGCCCCGCGTCGGGCTCTGTGCTGACAGCTCAGAGCCTGGAGCCTGTTTCAGATTCTGTGTCTCCTTCTCTCTCTCTGACCCTCCCCCGTTCATACTCTGTCTCTCTCTGTCTCAAAAATAAATAAACGTTAAAAAAAAAATTAAAAAAAAAAAGGGGGAAAATTATCAGAGTAATTGGGTTATGGTAGGGCCATTAAGTAAACACACACACACACACACACACACACACACACACACACACACCCCTGACCACCGTATTCCCAAGAGCAAGAAATCAACTTATATTTTCCTCAGTCTAGGCATTTCTACAGTGAATTCACTGATAACAGAGCCTCCAGATCTAGTTTAGGTCTCCAGACAGAATGCCCTTCTTTCTGAGGCTGTGCTCCTCTTAATGTTTTAGTATCTGAATTATATGAGCAGGCCAGGCCAGTGCGTCTGCCTGGAGACTAGGCTGGGGCAGTCCACCAGCTGGGCGGATGCCAGGAGCCAGTTGATGGCACTTCATTTAAAAATTAGACTTGTGATTCATTTAAATGGCAGTCTTTAAATTTAAAAATTAAATCATCAATTGCTCTTTCCCTTTTTAGCAGCATGCATTTTGAAGATTAACTCAACAATATGGCCAGCAAATGAAATTACAAAGGATTCTTCATCATGGATTTCACCTAGAATATATCACAACTGCCTTGTTCTTCTGTAAATGGATCTTCTCTGTAAATAGCTGGACATACTATAAATCACTATTTTGTTAAAAGTCTAACTGGTGACATGTTTGTGTTTTTGTTTTTCAAAGAGGGGAATTAACTCAGGCTCCTCTGGAAGTATAATAATATCCACAAAAAGGAGCACAACAAACAGAGATAGCTTTCCAAATTCCTGATCATTCCCGGGGGGAGGGGGGGCAAGTGTAGTGGCCTCATGAGTGATTGCCTAGGAACCCACTGGAAACACCCAATGGGAATGATCTTCCACGTGCAACCTCAACATTTCTGTGTCGTCCTGTCCCAGGATAGGGAGGAGTGGTAGGGCAGCTCCCTTTCCCTCTTGCCAAAGCTCGCCACTCTCTTGTTTTCTTACATTGGCCCTTCAGTATGTGAGCTGGGTTTAGAAGTTGTTTGAACATGCAACTGTGATCAACAAGAAAACTTTTGACTCCTAGAACAGTGGGTTCTCCAAGTTCTGGATCTCAAGAGTTTCTATATTCTTCTTCTCCTTTTTAGAAAAAAAATTTTTAATGTTTTATTATTTATTTTTGAGAGAGAGAGGGACAGAGTGTGAGTGGGGATGGGGCAGAGAGAGAAGGAGACATAGAATCCAAAGCAGGCTCCAAGTTCTGAGTTGTCAGCACAAAACCTGACTAGGGGTTCAAATTCACGAACCATGAGATCATGACCTGAGCCTAAATCAGGAGTTGGATGATTAACCGACTGAGCCACCCAGGAGCCCTCTTCTGCTTTTTGATGTTTATTTATTTATTTTGACGGGGAGGGAAGGGCAGAGAGAGGGGGAGAGATAATCCAAGCAGGCTCTGTGCTGTCAGTGAAGAGCCCAAAGTGGGGCTCGAACTCATGAACCTCGAGATCATGACCTGAGCTGAAATCAAGAGTTGGATGCTTAACTGACTGAGCCATCCAGGCGTCCCAGGAGCCTTTACATTCTTAAAAGTTATTGAGAGCCCCAAAGAGCTTCTGTTTGTGAGCATCACATTCATTAGTACTTCCTCTATTAGAAATCCAAGTCAGAAAAACTTAAAACTAGGTATTTGTTAATCATTAAGAAATAATAAGCCTAATGTTTACATGTTAGCATATAATTTTTTATGAAAAATAACTCTATTTTTCAAAACAAGAAAATTTAGCAAAAGAAGGGATAATGTTTTATACTTTTTTGCAAATCTCTAATGCCTGGATTAATAGAAAACAGCTAAATTTTCACATTATGTGTCTGCATTCAGTCTATTGTGATATATTATTTTCACTGAAGGATATAAAGCCAAGTCTAACCTCATACAGATATGTAGTTGAAAAGGGAGGTGTATTTAAATATCTTTTCAGGGAATTGTGCATATTCTTTGTGAATACTTTATTAAAACTTGACAAATGGTAATTTCTTAAAGGTTAGTTGTAACTGGCACCTGAAATGGCATGAATGAACTTTTGTACTTGGTTCAGTGTCATCCACCAGTCTGTCGTGTATATTAAATGGATTGTTCATCTATGCATGACTTTGTACTACTGTGTATTGATCATTTAGAAAATACCTTACTGGTTCACTAAGTTATGCAGCACATACAACCTTTGGCACATTTCATTGTATGATATCAAAACATAACGTTAGTTAATATCACTACTGATCGTATTAAAAAAGTCTTTAATCCTCGGGAAGCTGACACTTGGTGGCAAAAGCAAATTTCCCAAGATTCAGATTGTTGCTCAAAAGCTTAAATCTTATCACTGACAATAAATACTGTCTTCCTTGTAGTGACAGGCTGACTTCAGTCAATTGTTTTAATTCAAATTTTACTTTGAAATAATTGTAGATTCACATGCCGTTGTTAAAAAAACAAACAAACAAACAAACAAACAAACAAAAAAACAATAGGGAGAGATCCCTGTACCCATCTCGCAGTTTCCCTCAATGGGAACATCTTGCAATACTTACCAGGATATTGATATTGATACAGTCAAAATACAGAACATCTTCATTGCCACAGGAATCCCTCAAGTTGCCTTCAAATAGCCACTCCATCTCCTGATTGTCCCTACCTGCTGCTTAACCCCTGGTAACCATCGGTCTGTTCTCTGTTTCTGCAATTTGTCATTTAAAAAAATGTTATACTAACAGAACCATACAGTATAGAACCTTTGGGCATTGCTTTTTTTTTTTTTTTTTAAACTCAGCATAATTCTCTGCACCTTCATCTAGGTTGTATGTTCAAGAGTTTGTTCCTTTTTATCACCAAGTAGTGTTCACGGTGTGGACTCAGCACAATGTAACCATTTACTTGTTGAAGGACTTCTGGGTTGTTGCCAGTTTGGGGCTATTACAAATAAAGCTGCTATAAACATTCATGCACAGGGTTGTTGTTGTCTTAATGCCTATTTGTTTATTTTGAGGGGGTGTGTGGGAATAAGCTTAGGAATTCCTGAGCCTGTGCTGATGGGTTAACAAGGCGTAAAGAATTACAAAGCCATAGGAGGCTCACATCCAAGTTTGGATAAACAAGATGAGGTAAACAGGTATAGAGACGGCAGGGCAAAGGCCCCAATACAAAGGTATATGGGGTAAACAAGATTAGGTATTCAGGACGGAAACGCCCC